CTACCACTTGAGCCACAGCGCCACTTCCGGCTTTTTTCTTTTTGCTTATGTGGTGCTGAGGAATCGAACCCAGGGCCTCAGGCATGCAAGGCACACGCTCTACCACTGAGCCATCTTCCCAGCCCCTTTTTTCAAGTTTTATGCATCTATCTTTCTATGTTCTTCTGTAGTTTAAAAAGAACAGTAAAAGTTTCAAGTAGAAATTAACCATATTAGGTTCCAAAAAGATTCTGGATAAATCTACCTAAATTTCTAGTGGCACTCACATAATATGTCTTGGCACATATTTAAGCCATGTTCTTAAAAAAATTAAAAAAAAAAAAAAAGATGAAAGCCAAGAGACAGTGGCTATACCTACAATCCTAGCTACTTGGCTAGGCTAATATGTGAGGATCACAGTTCAAAGCCAGTCTGTGAAAGAAAATCTGCAAGACTTTTATCTCCAATTAACCATTAAAAAGGAAATTCCAGAAGTGGAGTTGTGGTTCAAGTGGTAGTATCAGCCTCAAGCAGGAAAGGTAAGAAACAGCACCCAGAGGTTCTGAGTTCAAGCCTCAGTATTGGCACAAAAAAAGCAAAAAAAAAAGTGAGATTAAGACTTTCTAATGCTCAACAATAAATACTTCCATGAACAATTCATGCTATACTTCACCAGGAAGTTACTTTTGAATCACAACTGTGAATACAGAGACAACTTCCAAAAGGTATAGATAAAGGCAGAAAGTATCAGCAGAAAAAAAGCTGAAAGACTTTCTGGTGAGCTGCCAAAATCTTGTAATCATAAGGAAAGGAGGAAGGGATGAAGGGAGGGAAGGAGGGAGGAAGGAAGGAAACATTGTCACGAGCTTCTTACCAGCAATGATTGTTGTTGCTTGTCGTCTCACATTATTTTTATCCATGTATTCACCATAGTCTACTTTCCCTTCCACATAAATTCGAGACCTGATATAAATAAAGTTTTTAGTCTGGCAATTCTAACATGCTTTGCAAGAGTCGGATCAGGGTGATGATGAGAATACTCTATGGATGAAATACAATTATACTTGAATCTTTTATGTTATCATTTCTCTGATGAAATACTATTATACTTTAATCTTTTATGTTATCATTTCTCCAAGTTCAAAGTTATGAATACTGAAACACAATGTGAAAACAGATTTGATACATCTAGTTAACAAAGCATGGTGGTACATGTCTGTAATCCCAATGACTGAGGCTGAGCAGGAGGATCACAGTCAAGACTGGCTTGGACAACTTAAGAGACCCTGTGTCAAAAGTTACATTTCAAAAAAAGGACTGGAGCTATAGTGCAATAGAAGAGTATTTGCCAAGCATTCAGCAGGCCTCAGGTTTCTGGACTTGGTCCTCAGTATCCCCCTCTTTCCCCTTCCCACCCCACTACATACACAAACCTATTACCCTTCAGCAAAAAAATTTTTAAGATGATCTACGACTATCACAGAATATCAAACAGCAGCACCTTTGCAATTCTATTTCCAATGTGTCATTTTCCTAAAACTTTGCTTGAACTCCCTTACAGATAAATAGTACGGTCTGTAACCTTATTCTCCAGGGGCTAATTCATATCCACACAGCGTTTTCTGCTTATAATAGACTCAGTTAATGAGGCAGAACTAAATGACATTTACACTTTTTATTTTTTTATTTTTTGATGGTACTGGAGTTTTGAACTCAGGGAGGGGCTTGTGCTTGCTGGGCAGATGCTCCACTCCAAACCATACCACCAGCCTTCTTTGCTTTAGTTACTTGGGGGATAGGGTCTTGTCTTTATGCCTGGACAGGCCTACACTGTGATCCTATTTACACTTAACATATGGCTGGGACGGTGGGCATGTCCCACTATGCCTAGCTCTTTGTTGGCTAACATAGGATCTCCTAAATTTTTACCCCGGTTGGCCTCATACTGTGACTGTCCTGGTCTCAGCCTGAAGTAGCTAGAACTACAGGTGTGAGGCACTACATCTGGCTATGATTTAGAAGGGTGGAAAATGACAACAGAAAGACAACACACTAATGAATTAATGAGATACAAAAGGAAACACAGATTCCTCAGGAAGGCGGAATTGTATGCTGAGCTTTTCCTTGAAAGGCCCTACGTGTGTGTATGTATATACATACCACATACACACATACGTAAAGGACAGTGGAGACAAACGGAGAGAAGAACTACAGCTACTGAAATAGAAATTTTAATCATGGCTGAAATTATTTTTCACAAAGTATATTTGTCTTATAGAAAACTTTATTTCTAAGCACATTAACTTGTAAGGCTGCTATTAAACACACCCTTTTGTTCTTCTAAGAGCCTGGAAAGAATACTACATAATCCAATAGTTACAAAAGGAAAATACTAAGCCTATAGAAAATTCTCAACTATCAAATAATTGCTGAGAATATTCTCATACGTTGGAGTGCAAACTTCAGATTCTCTACCATGGGCATCATGTGTACACCAAGTGACCAGATGCTACCCTTAGAATCCCAGGTCACATAGGCTTAGAAGGTCCTAAAAGCAGGTGTTAACAGAGGCCCTTAATACACATCAGCTTCTCTCCTGCCTAATCTACTTCTGATTATATATATACCTTGTGGGCTCTAAATTTTAAAGTCATGATTTAAACTTTCAGTTTGATATAGTCACAGCGATATTCCATGTACTTGGTATTAAGGTATCAATAAGTACTTCTTTTATTGTTTTATTTTGTGCTTCGTATGAGGGAAGCAGGGGACTATGATCTCACAATGTCGTAGCAGCCCAGACAGGCCTTGAACACACAATCCTCCAGCCTCAGTCTTCCGAGTGCTGGGAATACAGGTATGTGCTATTATACCTAACAGGTACCTCTAAATATAATTAATCAGGGGCAAAGGAGGAGTAACATGTTTCTTGCCATGAAAACACTGTATACATTTAATCCAAAAGACCCTTCCTTCTTTAACTTACCCCTTTTTCACATACTGATATGCCACATCTCTAAGGCCAGGTCGGAACACTGATATTCTGTGCCATGTTGTCTTTTGATTGACATCGCCTAAATCATGGGTATAGGAAATGTGATTATAAACGCCAGTAGACAAAATGAATACCCAATGGACAAAACATTCAGCAAAACCAAACTCATAGGTTCCATAAAAAATTACAAAATGAAATAAGACAAACTCTATCTAAAAGTAGCTTATCTCTACTGAGGTAATTGACAATATATCATGGAAGGCTTTTATACTCACCCATTTGGTATGCTTCACTTTCCCCTGATCGCCACATTTCATTTGTTGCTAGAGAAAATATTGTGACTGGATTTTTTCCTTCCACCTGTCTCAGGACAGGGTCCTGACCCACTCGCCCAAGTAACTGCACACGATTCAGAGCTGAAATGTAATATGGAGATAAAACAAAATTGTGTACTTACTACAGACCAAATGTTTATGTCCCTCTCAAAATTTGCTTCTTGAATATCTTACCCAAATCTGACATCATGGGAGGTAGACCATAGATAGATAATTAGGTTTAGATGAAGTTTTGAGGGTGAAGCCTCTATGATGAGATTAGTTTCCATATTTGAAGAGGAAGGGACCAGAGCTTTCTCTCTCCGGCAAGTGAAAACAGAGAAGGCAATATGTACCAGACAGGAAGAATCTTCACCAAGAGCCCACCATGCTGGCACCCTAATCTTGGAAGTCTAGTTTTCAGAACTGAGAAATCAAAGTCAGCTGATTTATTCACTATGGAAATTCCCTATAGCTGCCAAAGCTGACTATTAAATCTACAAACTTGAGATAGAAATATACAGAAAAGAAGCTGCTACAAATATTGCTTCAATTCTATTCTCATATAAGCAAAACAAGTTACAGAAGATCAGCAAATAAGTTAAAGGAGCAAATAAAAGAAGCCTGAGAGGGGGAAAAATAGGTTAATATGGAGAAAACAGAGAACACCACCCCACAAAACAAATTCTTTATCTTAAATTCTTCTTCAAGGTAACTTTTTAAAGCAACTGTGGAGCTAAAAGCACAAATCTGAGACTTAAATCTTTACTACAGAAAAGTGTATTTCTGTCCAACATAACCATACAAGATACAGATAACCAAATATCACTTGAGGAAATTCATTCACAACAGTGAGCAAGTAATCTCTGGCTGAACATGAAGCTGACATTAGGTGACCACAGTCTAATGGGCAATATCTGAGGAGTAAATGCATGGGCTAGAGGCATGATGGGTAACAGTTAAATTCAGCACATCTCTTCTCTATTTTTAAGAATATTAGCACAGTATTATAAATAACACTGTAAACTTAGAAAATAGAAAAATTAGAAACTTAGAAAATAGGTACTTACATCTTTCCAGAACTAAACTGGTAGCTATTTCAGACTCATGTCTCACAAACTGACGAAGCACCTGGAAAGAGGAAAAAAGGCTATATAAGTCACATAGACATCAGTAAAAGGTATTTACTGCCAAATAACTGCAGCAAGTAAAATTAAATACATAAATAACATATATATATATATATATATTTAGTGGTACTGCCATTTGAACCCAGGGCCTTGTACTTGCTAGGTAGGTACTCTACTGCTTGAGCTTGAACCACATCCACAGCCCAATCCCTACTTTGGACCTAAGAGAGACTCAGAGAGAGTAACTTGCTCAAGATCCTATAGGAAATAAGTAATAAGTCATGACTTGTGAATTTATGATGATCCTGAGACTTGAGCTACTCTCCACAGTGTAGGAAGATGCAAGGGGAACATTTAGTAACAAAGAAAGATAGATGGTCAATAAAGGAACTACAATACCTTATTTTTAAAGTGATAAACACTTTGAGGGTGGAGGGTGGGTGGGAGATGGGAAGGGATGGGAAGGGGAAACAAAGGAGGAGGCAACAATGCTTGATAAGAAATGTACTCATTATCTTGCCCATGTAATTGTAACCCCACTGTACGGTATTTTCACAACAAACATATAAATAAAGTGATAAACAATGATTCAAAGTCCTCAAATCATCAAATGCATTAAATACACACTAGCTCATATAAATGCAAGTTTCACAAGTTTTCAACTGTAGAGATTCCCACTATAAATGTGAACATTGTGTTTGTGTTTGTGTGTGTGTGTGTGTACACACTGGTACTGGGGCTGGTTTTTTCCCTTCTCAAGTCTGGTATTCTACTACTTGAACCACATAAGAGTCTCCACATACCTTGCTGCCTGAGCTGTATTCAAAAAGCTATCCTCAGATCTCAAGCCTCCTAAATAGTTAAGATTACAGGCATGAGCCTCCAGCATCCCGACTTGTAAACGTATTTTAAACTATTTGCTTTAGCAAGCCCCTCAAATAAGTACCCACAAAACAATGAGTAAGTAGGCTCAAAGGCCTTTTGCGCCTGCAGCCAAATGCTGCCTAAGAAAATCTGATCACTATAGCTGATAATGAAGCTCAGCATAAACATAGAAAAGTAACTAACCTGTAGCACAGGTCTTCGAAACATGGTTTCTATTTTCTTTTCTTACAATCTGATAGTTAGGACTTGCCTGAAGGGAAGGGAGAGGGATAAATTAAAAACTACAATTTACAGCAACCTCACAAGACAACTAGTCCTAAATACCTAACTACACTGAGATTTTCTGCACGCCCAACTGGCATCAAACTCATCAATATCCTTGGCTCGTTTCATCTGGATCCCCTTCCTGGCCTCCTCCCCCAACATTTTGTGTCTTTCGGGTCCCATTTAACTCTTTCTCCCCCTCTTCCGACGCCCTGTCCTCCCCCATTTCAATGGAACGCAAGCTCCTTGAAAGGATTTTTGTACAACTTGCTCATTACTGTCACGTCCTAAACTCCTGCATTCGTTCCCAACACACAGATAAGGACTCGATAAATATTACTGTCAGTAAGGCTCTTAAAGCTGAAACCCGGTGCTCCCACAGCAATCCAGCTGTGAAGGCTGAGGCAGCGGGCTCCCGACCCCCGCCTCGGGCCCCTCCCCATACAGTAACTTCCCGCCCAGCCACGAAGAGGAGGGTGGGAGGGCCTGGGCCCGCGCAGGTGGGAAGGCCGAGCGGCCACGCGCCAGCACCTGCGAGCCTCGCACAGAGGTACGCGAGGCCGACAAACCTCCTCCAAGTACGCCAGACAGGACCGGCCCCGGTTATGCGTCACTTCCGGCGCACAGAGCCGATTAAAAAGAGGCGCACGGGAAGAGGCGAAACAGGAAGTGCTGCGTGCGTGCGCAGCAAAAAGGCTGCCGGCCGGCAGGGCGGAGCTAAAGCCCCCAACTTGAGAGTTCCGGATACTGCATTCCGGGCGCAGTGGGTGGATCACCGCCGCCTGGTGGTGAGTCCGGCCGATTTCAGGATCGCAGAGGGACAAGGTGAAACGTAGGAAAAAAGTTCCATTGCTGGGGGATGGGAGGGTGGGGAAAACCACACTTCCAGGCCACCTAAAACCATTAAAAATAAAAAATCTGAAGGATAATGTGCTCAGGCCACAAAACTTAAAGCGCGCCCAAAAACAGGCAATCAAGATAATGTTTCAATGTACTGTTTCAAATGTCCAAATTAATGCAAAAATCGTGAAGAACACAATATTCAACCTTCAATTAAATACGCGACCCAACCATCCTGGGGCCTGAGGTATGAGTAGGAGTGTGAATCTTTGTGTACATGGTTTTATGGGAGGGGGGCCTCAGAAACCTTATTAATAGTTGAATAAATTTTACAAATTTCCAAAATAGACATATGAAGACACAATATTGTCCTAAGTTTGTTTGATTCAAACCACCAAAATAGGATTATAATTTTACCTTTCTGCCCTTGATGGAAGTGAACTAATATTTTCGAAGTCTAATCTTTTTATTTTTTGGCATGTTTCATTTTAAGTCTGACAGTTTTTTTTTTGACCAAGTGATAATTTTAAATAATTTTGTTTAACTTCAGTTTGATTTTGTCATTAATAAATTTTGATATTTTGATTATCATAAGTCTCTCTCATTTAAGGGACTTATGCTTGCTAGGTAAGCACTCTACCACTTGAGCCATGCCTCCAGCTCTCTTACTATTTTAAAAATAGTTCATTAACTATTATTTTGATTGTTGAATTTTGTTTTGTCTTTGTCGGTCGTGGGACTTGAACTCTGGGTCTGGGCGCTGTCCCTGCGCTCTTCAGCTCAAAGCGAGCACTCTACCTCTTGAGCCACCACCACTTCTGGTTTTCTAGTGGTTTTATTGGAGATCAGAGTCTCATGGATTTTTCTGCCCAGGCTGGCTTTGAACCGTGATCCTCAGATCTCAGCCTCCCGAGTAGCTAGGATTACAGGCATGAGCCACCAGAGCCCAACTTGATTGCTGAAATTTTAAATTTACTTTTCCCTAATCCTGGACCTGGTGGGAAATATATATGGAGTCCCACAGATTGCAGGATTGAATCCTGCAGAGTTAGGCTGAGGCTCTCTATTCTTCAGCTCCTGGTCCACCGGCTGACATCGTATAGATAATGAAGGGACCCTCTCTATCACATTACACAGAAAATTGTCTCCTTGAGTTCATTCATGTCATTTAAAAAAATCTGAACTATTTAACCTGGCTCCCTACTTAGACCATCACCTGATTGTGAAGATCTGGCTCACTAGTTTATATATTTGTAAATGTTTACCTCCATATATATCCACCTTTACAAAACTGAGTTTCTGAAAACAGTAGTTTACTACCTTCAGCCCACACATCAGTATGAATTAATAATTCTACATTCCACCATGTTACAACTTGCAATGCCCTCTTCCTGCTTTAAAAGTCCTACTTCCACTTGTCTAATTGAGTCAAAAGAAAAAAATTCACCTTTCCTCTAAAGATAATTTACCCACTTCAGCTTGTGTAAAACACTGACAATCCTGAACTTTGGGATAACCTTAAAATAGTCTTACAAATTACCTACAACCACATCCATATATGTTCTTCCTTTATTATCCCAGTAATGTCTCCCTTTTTCTATTTGCAGAATGTGGAAGAGGGTGGTTTTTCTAAGTGGCAAAAATACCACACAAATTGAAAGCACAATCTTGAACAAACATATAGCCTTATAAATAACATCTGACTGGAAAATATTGATTTATCTTTGCTTTTTCTTTGACAGAAATGTATACTTTTGGCTGAGGAAGGTTTAAAGAGTTACTACCTCCTCTTCTTTTACAAAAAAAACCATGTTAAAACTTGAATTTTTTTTAATATGCATGTAATGTCTGTCATGAAAGAACTGGTTCTTCCAGTGAATACCATCATTTTGGAATTGATCCTTCCCAATGTAACAATGTTAGTCATGTAACAGACACTTCAGGCTTGATTTGTTCTAATGCTCTTTGGGATTTGAAATATCCTGCTCACACTTTCAAATTATCCCTTTCTCTTTTCTCCCCTTTCATTGTCTTTGCACTCAGTCTGTCTTTGTAATACAACAGTAAAGGTCCTATAGATGCCTTTCTCCAATTGACTCCAGGTTCCTAAGTACACAGAACCTATTGTGAATATCTAGTTCACAGTGGGTTTAAAAACAAGAACAGGCTTTAGAAAGACCCAAGTCACAGGCTAGAGCACAACAACGGGAAGAAAAATCGGAAAAGTCTTGGAGGATACTCAAATAGACCTAAAATTTGAAAAATCAAAAATGTCACTAAACTGGAAGGGTGGCTCCAGTGTTTTTTTTTTGTATTAGAAATACTTCATTCTCTTCCTTGGTGCTGCCTGCCAAGAGGACCGCCATCTCCTGCTGGGCACCATGGATGCCCTCAGACCTCTGTTGAAGTCCAGCATCATAAAAAAGAGGACGAAGGTGTTCATCCGCACCAGTCAGTATGTAAAGGTCAAGCATTATGGAAAGCCAGGGGCAACAGCATGCAGAGAAGATTCAAAGGCCAGATCGTGATGCCTAACACTGATTATGGGAGCAACAGGGAAACAAAGCACATGTTGCCCAGTGGCTTCTGGAAAGCCCTGGCCCCCCACGTCCAAGAACTGCAAGTGCCACTCATGTGTAACAGGTGTTACTGTGCTGAGATGCTCAGTCTTTCCTCCAAGAAACAGAAAGCCATTGTGGAAAGAGCAGCCCAGCTGTCCAGCAGAGTCACCATTCCCAATGCCAGGTTGTGCAGTGAAGACAACAAGTAGGTGGTTCACATACATCTTTCATTTGCTCTTAAATAAACCACAAAAACTGCTAAGAACAAAGATACAGCTTTAAATCTACCATTTACATTTTGATGGGGAATCCCACAAACCTTTTCATACCATATATACATATATATGTTCATACACATGAGAGCTGACGTAACTAGACTTTCTGTAGTTCATTTCTGGTCCCAGAAAAGGATTTCAAAATGGTGTGTGGTGAGAACATTGTGGCCTTAATCAGTGTTACTCTCTATACTGATAGGTGAATTCAGAACTTTAATCATGTGCATAGTTCAGTGCGAAAGACAAGTATGTATTGTATATACTCAGAAATGCAAAGTTACCCTGGGCCCTGCCTTTATTTCCTCCTAAATCAAAAGTTTCAGGTATGGACATCCAGTGGCAGAGTCTGGTGGTAGCAATGCTTTATCATAAAGAGCTTTGGACAATTTTGTTACTGTAAAAGCATTTTGGAAATTTTAATCAAGTACTCACTTTGCTTTTGAATCAGTTTTCCTAAAGTCTCATAATAACTTGAGAAATTACAGTACTTTTCCCTAAACTGGTGTATTTTAAGGTGGTTCAAAAGCAATTTTAGCAATACTTTGTAGTTATGATGGCTATTTTCTTAAACGTATCAGCCTGACAATTTTTATGTTATTCGGGTTGAAATTACAGTTCTTCTAGAGATTAAAAGGGCCTGTTCAGACTAGAAAGTTGATATTTGCCTTTCAGCACTTATCTTTATATGGCTTGAGATAAATGTGCCCTTGAGTGCATTCACGTATTAGAACTTAGACCAACCAAACACAATAATATTTCTCACTATTATGTCTTGGCAATTGAGGGTCAAGGTCCAGGTTTGTGTTTAGGAAGCACAAGAAAAATTTTAATCAAGTTCTCACTTTGCTTTTAAATCAATTTTCCTTAAGTCTTATAACAGCTGTTGGAAAATTACAGCACTTCTACCTAAACTTATTACTAGAACATATTTTAAGGTGGTTCAAAATATGTTTAGCAATACTTTATAATCATGAGGACATCTATAGAAAAACAACATATTTACTTCACAAAGTACTTAAATTCAGTTCTTGTAACGTCACCAGCCTGATGATCTAATTGTGGTTGTTGAGTTACAAAAGCAGAACTTATTCAATGGAGGGGAAATGTCCAAGTGAAACAGAAGTGATAAATCAATCCCAATGAGACTCAGTTTCTCTCATACTCCATACTATCTGTGCAACTATAGGTTATTTGGACGATGCACTGCTACCATGTCACCAAGTGGAGAGAGGGGAGAGGCGCCAGGAATCTGACACCAGTCCATTCAGCTATGAACCTGGTCTCTGAGCAACACAATGGAGAAAGGGATATACCCCCTCTAGTGTTGTACAACTGAGAAGACACATTTAACCAAAAACTTTCTGGCCTGTATATGGCATACACGTAATAACGTGCCTGCTTCTAAACCATAAGGCAGGGTGAAGCTTTCCCTGTATAGTGTAAAAGATATGGGGATGATGTTAACAGGAGAGTGACAAAAGATCAACCAATCCCATTGTGAAACCCCGAATAATCAGGCATCAGCAGCTCATGACTGTAAAGCTAGCTACTCATGAGGCTGAGATCTGAGGATAGAAGTTCAAAGCCAGCCAGGGCAGGAATGTCTATGAGTGTCTTATCTTCAGTTAACTACCAAAAAGCCAGAAGTGGAGCTATGGCTCACATGATGGAGTTCCAGCCTTGAGTGTAAAAGCTAAAGGACAGTACCCAAGCCCTAAATTCAAGACTCAGTATGAGCGCCCACAAAACAAAACAAAAAACAACAACAACAAATAAAAGAATGGTAAATTAGAATGACAGTTGCATACAGAAAGAACTGAATGCATTTAATTGTATGGGAAATATTGTTATTCCAAGGTCAACAGAAAATGGAATGAGAATTATTAATTAAACAAAAAACTTAGCTTCTAGAAAAGAAGAAAATCAGGCAGCAGAAAAGCCATTAATCATTACCAGGTTACCATCATTAGAATTACTCAAAGAGAAGTTACCAAATACCTTTATGGCCAATATCATTTTGTAGTTACACCTGACCATTACTAGCTTTTGTTACCTGTGAACTTGGGTATTACCACTAAGACCTATCACAAATAACCTACTGAATTCTCTTACCCACTCCGAGAACATTTTCCAACATAAATTTCTCATGTTTTGTTGAATATTAGAGGAGTGTTTTACCCACAACTGACTTTGGAGGAGATTTAAAAAAACTTTATTTATAAATATTCTGTTCCTTTTTAAATATAGATAGAAAACAGTTTGGATAAAATATGCTAACATCACAGGAAACAAGGCCAAATTCTGCTAAAACCAAGAAAAATTGGTGACATCCAGAAAATCAAAGGCAAGCCGATCCAGACACAAGTGGGTTAAGACAAATGAAGCCAAAGATTCCAACTTCCCTCCAACCCTCTACCTCAGAGCTCTCATTTTACACATTAGTAGTCATCTTAGGAATGCCTAGGCTGCTGCAGTCTTTTTGCTAACTACCGCACAATAATGGAGCTATTTATTTAATAATTACAGTATCGAATTTAAAAAGCTTTTATCTCTCCAGAAAGTACATTTGGAAAACCACTTGCTCATGGGGTAATTCTTTTAGGAATAGCATTATATCACCTAGGAAACACTGTTGAAATCCAGGCACCGTTTCTTGGAAGCTGTGATTCAACTCAAAACCAAATTTTATTCCTTTCTTCTATTAATAGAGCTCCTGGGCTATTTGGGGGAGAAATAAACAATAGCCCCTAACTAGACTGTAAACCATGCCAAAGGTTCTTTCATTCTTTTAATCATGTTTGCTCATCAGTTAAACCTGAGACTCTAATTGTCAGCAGGTGGCATTACAACAATATGGAAGAGAAATGGCTACCTGGGACAAGCCGCTTTGGTAACTTTATGACCTGTAGGTGATAAATTAGGATGGCTTTTGAAATCTTAGCTCATTCCAGTTGGTTCATTTTCCCATTTGGTAAGAGATCAGTATCTTTGTGAATGCTGTATAGCAAAAGGCTGAATGATAACAAGTGAGTTCTATGGGGAAGATTCCCCACAGGTAAAGCTTGAAGACTTCCTACTCTTTCCTCCGACCAGATGCTTTGTGGTCCTTGGTCCTGGGTGGGCCTCAGAATCACTGGGGTGGCCCTGGGGGATGTCTCCTTGGGAGGACTGGGCTTGCTGGGCTTCTCTCAGTTCCCTGCAATGAAAGAGGGAAAGCACACATTGCTCTTTCCCCAGTTAGAAATAACGCTTATGATCACAACTAGTAGTGATTTATCTTTTGAATCTTATAGATACAAGCCTGAACTATATACAAAAGACACAATTCAGTCATTAAGAAAGAGTATCATAATGGGGTACATTTGACCCAAGTACATTTTATACAGGTTGGTTGTAGACATCACAATAAACTTATGCAATTGATGCTAATAAATTTTACTTTTTAGAAAAGGTTGACACCCACCGCATATGGTAGATTCTGTTTTCCAGATCCTACTTACAGGTGCACACAATCTTCATAATTAAAAGTGAACAAGTCTTCAGGGTGTACATCAAAACTATGTACATCAAAAGCTATAGCTTCTGGGTAGAATCTGGCCCACTCCCTGATTTGTTTTGGGTGGTGCTGGGGTTTGAACTAAGAGGCCTGAGCTCACTTGTCTTATTCTCCTCCATTTGAGCTACATCACTAGCCCTACTCTTGGCTGGTTATTTTGGAGTTAGTCTAGCAGGCTTCTCTGCCCCAGCTGGCCTCTTATTTCTTCCTCCAGATCTCAGCCTCCTAAGTAGCTAGGATTACAGGCATAAGCAGCCATCCCCTAGCTTAACCTGTTTTTTAAATAAAGTCTTGCTGAACCACTTATTGAATATGTTATATGTATTGTCATATATATACAAATATAAAACTACTGGTTGTTTTGCCAATGGCAGAGTTCAGTCATTACAGAAAGATTATAGGCCTCCAAAACATAGAATATTTATAACCATTTTCAAGATAAATTTACCAACCCCTGGTTTAAATGGTTTTAAGATACCATCTGTTTTGTCCCTAAAGGTGTCCATTACTGGTTGATGATGGTTACTTATTCCTCCAGAGCTAGCTTCATGTATCATACACATCACACTTAAAGTACTTTGTACTTTATTATCTGGAGCAATGTAATTTAAATAGTTTACTAGAGGTTGAGAGTCTACATAACTGATAATTTTAAAAAACAGTTTGGAACTTTTCTTTTTGCTCTCTGTTGTTCTTTCCTTCTGTCTTCCTTTCTTTCTTTTCTTTTCTTTCTTCCTTTTTCTTGGCCCGTACTAGGGCTTGAACTCAGGGTCTGAGCCTTTGTGCTCAAAGCTAGTGCTCTACCATATGAGCCAAAGCTCCCACTTCCAACTTTTTATTTAGCTAATGTAAGAATCTCATGGGCTTTCCTGCCCAGTCTGACTTTGAACCTCAATCTTCATATCTCAATCTCCTGAGCAGTAAGATTACAGGCATGACAACCAGCACCTGCCAGCTTGGGATTTTACAAACTTTCAAAGTTTTACCTCTAGATGTCTTTTTTTTTATTCAAAAGAAGTTAGATTTCTAAGCTTCCTTCAGGAAACAGCCAGCTTTCATTTCCTTATTTGTAACTGTACACAGAGTAACCATTCCTGCAAAACACTATTGATCCAGCACTGTGTCAACTATACCTCAACTTTACCCCCACCTTACTAATTCTCACTTGTTCAATGAAGAAATGAATTAGTGAATGAATACATACAGGAATATAGGCCTACTTGAATAAGAGATCATATTTCTTGGATCTTTAGTTTGTAGTTTCTAAGTGCCTAAGTGTGGGCCCTGTGTTAGGCAACATGCTACATTTATGTTAGTTCACTTGTGCTCACAACAGGCCCAGAGGAGATTTTCCCCAGCAAAACATCTCTTCACTTAAGCCTGTATCAGGACAGGATGCCTTCCCACCTGCCCATGAAATTTACCCACGCTTTCTAAATGTAGGTCAGTCTCTGTTTATCTTACCTACGGTTCTCTTACAGGAAGGTTAACACTGGTGCTGTTGATGCCTGAGTTTTCTCTACCAGTGGTATTCCCTTGCATTCCATACCCCCTTGCTATCACTATCTTTATATTACTTGGAATTTTCTCTTAAACTCCCTAGTCCAAGAACTTCCCAGTCCCCTACTACAAAGAATCTCACACCGCTACCAGTGTCCTGTGGATAGGACTGTGTAGTATAATATAGAATACACAAAAATTTAAATCCATGGAGACACACCAGACCATCATAACATTGAGAAGGATTTGACATAGATTCTTCCTTGATTCCAACACCCCAAATCTACCTTTCCAGTGCGGCTATCTTGGACTTTTCCAAGTCCAGCTGCTGCTGGAGCTCCTCTGTGGTCCCCAGGGAGGGCCGGAGAACTTGACTCCTGGCCAGAGCTGCTGCAGAAGGTCTCTCCTCCGGGTCAGGGTGGATCATGTTCTAATGACACAGGACCAAAAGGAAGGAAACAGAAGCTTCCCTACTGGAAAAAGCTCCCCCACTGAAGTCATCTGCTTCTCCTTTGTGCAAACAGGAGAAGAAATGGAAGCTTGCTCCACTTCAGAGAGAAAGATATGCCATGTCTCATAACATCAGTTATTGGTACCTTTGACTTGTCTTTAAGCATCATATTTAAGAACTGGATGATTTAAAAACTAGTCAAATGCTTTTATTTTAAGGTATAAAAAGAGATACTCCTTAGGAACATGAGTGGGCACACAAATGGAGGGTGATGGGGTTGGAGGCATCCCTCAGATGGTAGAGTACCTGCCAGTGAGTGATAAGTATCAGATACCCAGTTTGAGTCCCGGTCTTGGACAAAAGAGAAATAAAAACTGGAGAGTAAGCAAATTCAGTCATTATATTCATAGGACACTATGTAACTTGAGGCGAGATATGGGGAGGGACATGGGGAAGAATGATAGGAGGGGTGACAGTGGTCAAGATGCATTGTACTCATAACCTGACTTATGGAATTGTAACTGTAAGTAACCATACATCACTTACAATCAACACTAAGTAGCTAGTTGTACAAGTAGTTGTACAACTAATGTTTTTTTAAGTAACTTGTCTTAGTGGAATCTCCAAAGCCAACACCCAAGTATTAGGTCATTTTATGTTCTTCTATATCATACTCCCTTGTTACTTAATAGAGGTCCACTATGAAATTAGGCATAATGGTTTCTAAAGGTATGTCAGTCTCTACTTACCTTACCTAAGGTTTTCTTACATGATGGTTACCACTGGTGATGTTGACACCTGAGCTTTCTTTACCAGTGGTATTCCCTTGTATTCCACCCCCTCCTTTACTATTATGGCTATGATCCCAGCTACTCAAAATTTAGAGACAGGAGGATCTCCAGGTTGAGGCTAGTCCCTGCGAAAAACTAGTGAGGAAGTCGCCTAAGCAAAATACAAAGAAGAGAGCTGGGAACCTAGCTTAAGTGGTAGAGTATTTGCCTAATACGCATGAAGCACCGAATTCAATCTCCAGAACTGCCCAAAAATCCATGATGGCATTATGACTAAAGCATTTTTCATGTGATAAATCTGCAACCTCTAACCTAAGATGATTTCAATATGGTAGAAATACCTAAGTGCATGTGTGTCAACTGTGTGTGTGTGTGTCACTTATCAATAAGTAGCTTACTACTTATCAAAATACATTTGGAATAATCTTCTATTAATATCAAGCAAGAGAGAAGTGGCCAGGTTTGGTTTTAGAGTTAACCAAATATTAACTGAATACAGTAGTCAAATAGCTACTCTGAATCCTCAGCTTCCCCTGCTTCCTCTCCTGGTTTCTTCTCCAAGAATGAGGTATCCAAAAAAAAAAAAAGAATGAGGTGTCGTTTTTGAACAAGATTATAAAGAAGAACAAGAGAAAATGTTGACCACAGAATCCTTGACAGTAAATATCACACCTGTTGCCTTATAAAGTTTTCAGCCTTCCCTGTATCTTTCCTGAACTTGGAAGATCCCTCTTTCTCTGTTAATGGCAATACCAAATTTTCCATTTTCCTGCCACCCACCACTTGCCATTACACTATAGAACAAAGACATTTCATCATGTCTTCCTCTCACGAGAGATGTCACCTGGAGCAACTGGTAGAAGTCTTCCGAGAGCTCCTGAGGGATGCTGGGAAGGTTGCCCCTGCGGATGTGGTGCCACTCTTCACCATTGGCAGGTAGTGACTGCGCTCCCGCAGCTACTGCCATGGTCAATCCCAAGGAAAATATGTCCGCTTTGGGGAGGTAGCGATAATTCTGCAAAACAGAAAATAGGAAGGCCAGTTAGTTAGACAGTGGAGAGAGTTAAGATTGAAATACACACTCTTAGTAGATACATGTTTGAGCACCTAAAAGCTCTAAGTGTTATAGTAAAATGACATTTCCCATAGTTGGTGGCTTATTTCTAAGACAGAAGGAAGATAACCCATATTATTACCACCACAGTGCCCCAAAGAGCCCCACAAACCCAGCACCATTTTGTTGTCACACGCAAGGAAGTTTGGCACATAAATTAACTGATTGTGGAAAGGAAAGGCTCATTTTTTTAGTGTTTTTTTTTCCTGATTATCACCCAGGGAGAAGTTGTGGCCTTTCTAGTTCAAATTCAACAGATATCTTAGAAAATAGTCAGTGATCCAAAGTCATTTTAGTGGAGAGCTGATAATGCTATGAGGATTATGGCATGATAAAGAAGTATTCTGCTGATACGAGAAAGGTAGGGACGCCCTTCTAATAGTCAGATCTGTGAGACTACAAATTCTCGAAGAACTAAAAACAGTATAGGTCTTCCAGAAACAACACTAGGAATACTGATTGGTCCTTGACCTAGTCAGCTTTGCCATTTCTTTTGGATGTTTCTTTCTCATCTTTGGTTTCCAATCCAAATGGAAAAGAAGATACTATATATTTAAATTATAATATATATTATTATTTTCTTTGTTGTTTCAAGCCTTCATTTGAGAGTCAATCAATTCAAAGGGTCTGTAGTCTCAGCTAGTTAGCAGTCTGGGGCCTCATATCAGTTCAAGGCCAACTTGGACAATACAGATCGTGTCTCAAAAAGTTCATTTAAAAAGGTAAAAGCATAGAATGTATAATATATATATATTATATATATATAATATATATATATTATATATATATATATAATAAGGCCAAGTGTGGTGACATATTTCTGTAAGCCTAACTACTTGAAAGGTAAAGATAGGAAGACTGCAGGTCCAAAGCTAGCCTGGGCAAAAATTAAGGAAATCTGTCTCAAAGAACAAGCCAGGGCAAGTACAAGACCTTATCAGGAAAATAAAGTAAGACAAAAGGAGCTGAAGACAAGGCTTAAATGGTAAGTCACTTGCTTCAAGCATGAGGCCCTGAGTTCATAATCCAAAACATAAACAACTAAAATCCAATGCTCTCCGTTTCTCCCATCTATACCTCTTGTAAAATCTCATTAGCCAGGAAGCAAATGTCTCCTTCTTCCACTTTTGGTTTACTTATGGATGTCACATGACCCAGATCACCTAAAAAAAACCAAAAAACAAAGAAAGAAAGAAAACAAAATAGAGCTCTTTACATGTTTCAGCCAGGCTCCTGTGGCTCACACTTGTAAACCTAGCTACTCAGGAGACTGAGATCTGAGGATCATAGTTCAATGCTTAGCTTGGGCAGGAAAGTCTGTGAGACTCTTATCTCCAATTTACCACCAAAAGAACAGAAGTGGAGCTGTGGCTCTGATAGAGTACTAGCCTTGAACAAAAGAGCTCAAGGTCAGTGTCCAAGCTCTGAGTTCAACCCCACAACCAAAAAAAGAAAGAAAGAAAAGAAAAGTATGCATTTTGGTAACTCCATATATATCTTCAAAATTAGAATGAAGAAACTTGTTAAATATTGCTTTTTAAAGGAAGGAGGGAAGAGAAATAGTAATAGAAGGGGTGAATTTAGTCAGAGTACATGATATGCATGTATATTACTATCACAAACTCCTATTTACCATTAATGTATACTAATGAAGAGGGGGTAATGTAATTCTACTGTTTGGGGGTAGAGATTGGAAGGACTATGGTTCTAAGCCAGCTCAGGCAAAAATGTTCATGGGACCCTCATCGAGATAGAAAATGCTGGGCCCAGTGGTATGCCCCTGTAATCCCAGATATATGGAAGCATAACTGGCAGGACTGGAATCTAAGCCAACCCAGGTAAAAGGCAAGACCCTATCTCAAAAATAACTCGAGTAAAAATTGGCTAGAAGCATGACTCAAGCAGTAGTGTACCTATCTAGCAAGTGTATAGGCCTCATTTCAAACTCTACTATGGGGGAAGAGAGAAATGTTGTTATTAAAACTGGACCAAATGGCATCCTCAGCATAGGTTTTATAGTATAATGGAATACATGTAGGGATAGAAGGCAGACTCACCAATTTTATATATCACACTGGCAGATAAAAACCAATCAGCTTCATTTTCAGCTTCTTCTGGGCCTTCAGGAGAGTCACTTTGCATATTATGACAAATGAAAATGTTGCCTAAAAAACAGAGAGTAGACAACTGTAATGATCCCTCAAAGATCTGATATGACGCTCTGGATTTGATATTTCAGGACGCTAAAATACCTCCCCCCCCCCCCGTGTCTGTCATCACAACCACTTAGGAGGCAGAGACAGGAGGACCATGAGCTCCCTCCTTTTGCCTGGGTGGTTGTTGCAAGACTCCAATCTTTACTTTTCCCATGAAATCTCTCTTCTCACACCAGACCGGCAGTGATTGTTAGCACCTGTTCAGGCGATGCTGACCTCATGAATCCCTCACCCTCAAAAGAGGCTGGTGGCAGGCTACTGTCTCAAACTCCACAAAACACTAACATTTTGTCCATACATTTCACATAAAAGAGTGATAGAGTCACTCTCACACTCCCTTGGATCAGTGAATTGAAATATATAGTACTGCTAGGCTGCTGATGGCTCATGCCTAGCTACTCAGGAGGCTGAGATCTAAGGATCGCAGTCGGAAGCCAGCCTGGGCAGGAAAGTCTGTGAAACTTCTCTCCAATTAACCACCCAAAAGAGGAAACAGAGCTGTGGCTCCAATGGTAGAGCAATAACCTTGAGCAAAAAAGGTTAAGGACAGTGCCCAGGCTCAGAGTTTAAGCCTCAGGATAGGTGCACATGCACACACATATACACGTACACCACACACACACACACACACACACACACACACACACACGAACCCTGTATACTAGTTGTAAATACAATGAGAAAATAAACAATATACTATCACATATCTATGTAGTAAATTAAGTATTTGGATACGTTATTCCTTGTATGGGAGTGTTTCTCCTTTCTGTCCACTGGACCCAAGTGGGAAATGGCTAAAGATATTTTAGGGAAGACAAAGGGGAGAAAGGGATTCTGCCAGCAAATACAATCTTTGATATTTGTTTTCATTCTGGTGCTAGGCAAGTTCTTTCCCATTTGGGCTAAACCCTCAACCCTTTAAAAAAAAATTTAACTGGTTTTCAAGTAGTTTCTCCTAATGGTGCCTGGGCCAGCCTGACTGCAGTCCTCTTACCAATGGCCTCCTACCATAGCTGCACGCGCAGGTACAGCATCACACCCTGCTGATTGATCAAGATGGCCATCTCACTAACATTTCCCCCCAGGCTGGCCTTGAAACGAGATCTCCCAAATTCTCCCAATCTCAGTCTCTTGAGTAGCTGGGATTACAAATATACATCACTACACCCAGCCTATCTTTGACACTTGATAGACACATGGGCACAGATGATGGTGTGAAAAAGACAATATATTGCAGGAAGAACAGGAGAGACCATACTGACTAGGTTTGATGTCCATGTGTACCATGCCAGCATTGTGGATGTACTTGAGCCCCAAGGTAATCTGAAGAAGCATGTCCTTGAGTTTGGGTTCTTGGAAATGATTGCCAGCCTTAGTGTTTTTAGATATAGCAGCTTGTAAGCTTCCACCTGGGGGGGGGAACAGAGAATAACCCCATAGAATGTGAAAGAAGGTTCTTCAACATTGAGATGGATTAATGATCATTAAGTTCATGATAATTCATGGAAACAATCACTTCATCTCTTCTTTTTGAAAATGTTGAAATGCTTATATTACCCTCAAATCAGGTTGAATATTGGTTTTGTTGATTTTTGTTATTTAATATTGTCTTTGTTAACAGCAAAAAGTCATGAAAATAAAACCATGCTTCCTTGGTAGAAAGGGGAAGCGGATAAGGAAAGGACAAGAAATCTTAGATTTCCATAAAAGGGAATTAGGAAGGAGACTAGGAAGAGTAAAATGCTCAATCATAAGCATAAGAAAAGGATCTATTCTTTACCCATACCGACTGTTAGAAAAAGGGATTCGTGATAAGCTTACAAGAGAGGAGCTCTACAAAGACCACAGCTAAGGTTGAGAGGAAATATGTCTATGAGGAGACATTGGAGAAATACCCAATCATTCTTTGGGCCATGTGTCCATGTTCTAGCATTTCAGTATTATTTACTTCTTACTTGTTCACTTACTCATTCATACAATAATAACTCTTTAACACAACTCACTGTTCTTAAATGTCAGGCTAGATTTATATATTCAGGGCCATCTGGTGGTTACTGAAATTACTGGAAGAAAGCTGCTCAGTTGAAGATGGGGGCTGATGGGGAAGAGAAATGTGGTGTTCAAATATTACTATGGCCAAAATATTACTTGCTACCCCGATAATAATTGATAGCTTTTATTCAATTTGCAGCACTTTTCTGCTTTACCACGGAACATTTTGATGAAAAGCCTTTCCAAAGCTAATGCCACACAATTGCTATCATGTCAACTGCTTAGCTATCAATTAGATATTAAATCCAAGGACTGCTCTTTATGATCGAAGACGCACACACAAACACACACACACACAGATACACACACACCTGTTCCTAGCTACTATGTATGTATGGTCCTGAAGGATGCAGGAGAATATCTCTGAAATCACCAAGTTTGGTCCCAGTGCCCATCCCATGTTCCTATGCTGATGAGAATGCTCATGCTGAAAGGTAAGAAAGGTAGGAGTAATCTACTTGAAAATTACTCAGCAATTTATATCACAAACCTCATCGGGATAAAGAAACTTCAGATGTGTGAGCGAAGAAAAGAAGGATGGGGAGAATACAACCAAAAATCTAATGTATATTTTACAAAATTAGGAAAAGTGAGGGAAGGGGTAGATTGGGAAGAATGGGTAAGAATGTTGACAAGGTTGGCACTGATCAAGACACATTCTATTCTATATGTATTGAATGGCAACTCCTTTGTACAACTACTTAAAGATAGGAAAATATAAAAAGCAATGTTGCCCCTCAATATCTCCCACAATGGTATGGCTTGTTTCTTTCACAATACCAAGTGAATAGTAAGAGTATTATTTACACATTCAACCTACTAGGGTAAAACATTTTTTTTAAATCTCAGTGTGAAGTGTAAAGGAAGTTGGCTTCTATGCTCTCATGACACAACACCTTTGAAAGAAATACAGGTGCCTGAAAATTGCTGTTCAACTCAACCATGCTCCCAGATATTCTGCTTCTGAGCAAGATTACGGCACAGATATGTTAACTACACTCCTGATACCGTTGGCATCAACCGTAAGGAAATAGAATTAATTTCTGGAGATTTATGCAGTTCAGTTCTCTCTGTATAGATATTAATTCACATGCTTACCATTGCAGTATTCATTCTGGATGATCACATGATCATCTTCTGTCCAGGAAGAATAGTAACGTACCACATGTGGGTGATGTCCAAGCACCGCATGAGCATACACTTCATGCAAATCCAAATTCCTAACAGATGCACATGCATTGATCAAGATAAGGTACATTAAAACATGTGATACATAGTTCTAGAACATTTATCAGGTACTAACTGCTGTATTTTATTCAATCATCATAGCTACATGAGACCATGGAAAGTATGAAGTCTTCAGAAATTATATGACTTGCCCAAAGTCAAAATTACGGTAAACCCAAAAGCAGAACCTTGATCAGCCTGGTACCAAACTCATTGAATTTAGGGTGCTTACTATCTCAACAGCTAACATGCTTCAGGTTTTAATTTCACTGTATTACACTATGTAAATTTTAATTGGCTTACTAAGAAGGCCATCAGACACTTGATTGTAATGTCATCGGCCTCTACTTTTCTATAAAAGCTAGTCATTGGAATCAATATAAAACTCAGAGAATTCAATATAGTCTCAGGGGCTGAGATATTTTTGGGAAAGAGATTCATTATACAGTAGGAAATTCCAATACAAGAAAAGCAAACTGTTGTCTGTGATGAGTTTCAGAGTAAAAATGGAAGCTTGTAATTTTAAATTTAACATAAGTATTCACAAAGTTCCTAGAAAGCATTGGCTGAATATAAAAATATTTGTTTTCTTAATAATCAAAGGGAGAAATTTTTAACAATTAGTTCTAGGGTTGAACTACACAATTTAATAATTTTTCCTTGCTTACAGTCTCTGAAACTTCACTATTGAATACACTATTCATGCAAGTTAGAGAGAAACCAATGAGTTAGCAGTAACTCCCTTCTTGGCAGTATTTCTGACAAACTAAAAAGATCAATGGAAGATCATTCCATAAATCTATTCATTCAGCAACAACAACAAAGCAAAAGCTAGTTGTCAGTGGCTCACTCCTGTAATCCTAGCTACTCAGGAGGCTGAGATCTGAGGATTACAGTTCAAAGCCAGCCCAGGCAGGAAAGGCCATGAGACTTTTTATCTCCAATAGACCACCAGAAAACCAGAAGTAGCACTGTGGCTCAAGTGGTAGAGCACTAGCCTTGAGCTAAAGAGCTGAGGGACAGTGCTCAAGCCCAGAGTTCAAGCCCCATCACTGACACAAAAAAAAAGAAAGAAAAGAAAAAGAAAACAGGAGTCCCAGTAGCAGGAAGTAAAAGCCAAGAGATCCATAACATGACCTGAAATGATCATTAACAAAACAAGTGGCATATTTTTAACGATAACAAACGCTACCATTTAAAATATTTGGATAAGAAACAGCTCTCTGAATCCACATTTGTGCTTCTAGTACATGTCAAAGGCACTCACTCATTTGATAGGCCTGAAAAGGTTCTTGTCGAGTACTTGATTGCATAAATACACCCATCTAGCCTCTTGATGCATTTGTAGACTGTACCAAATGCTCCAACCCCAAGTTTTTCTACCTCTAAGAATTCCTTTGCATATCGGGAAGCCATGTTAATTTCTTCTAGCAGACTTTTCTGAAATATTTTAATAAAAGAGAATTAGAATAATTCTTCTTAAACATCTTGTGAGCAATATAATGTAACCATATTACATTTATAAATTGCTCTTGGTTTTTCAAAAGTACTCCTGGGGTGAAGGCAATAGATTCTATTTGGGTTGAAATAAACAGTAGCAATTGCTCCCCAAGCATTGACCTCATCCTCTATGGTAATGTTCCATACAATTCTCACTGACCTTTCACATATCCTTAGATACTTTTTCTTTTATCTAGTCATATTATTCTTTTCTGTGTGTTTCAACAGGGAACATATCAAATCCAGTGCTCTATTATCTTTAACTGAAGGAATCCCAGGAAATAGGGTAGAGCATGTTTTTAAAGATGTCCTTTGACATCTTTCTTGACCTTTCACAAATTCCAGATGCTAATATTTTCATCTCAAATTCAACAAATTCTTGTTGTGATTTCTCCCCTCACCCTTACCCCCAAAAAGTCAATTTGAAAGCAAAACCATCCAAAGGATTAGTCCTGATTGTGCCTATCCTGTATAATGAGCACGCCCCCTACCGGCAAACTAGTTACATCGCTCATTTGCCAGCGAGGAAATAACCTCAAGCACTTTTCCCATCTGTAACATGAAAATGTTAATTCATGGTACTTTTGACTAGTAAATGAGAATATACAATATTGTTTTACGTATAACGTATGAAATATATCTCATAGTATAATGCCCAACAAAATGGGAAGATTTTAGTAAACTCTCCATAACTTTATGTGAATCTAAATCCAAGATAATTTATCTTCCAAAGTCATCTTTTCCCAATGTATTCCAGTTGGCAGGGATTTTTATCTTCTAATGTTATCAGGTTAAAAACTTCATTTTTACCAGCTCATTATTTTTTTCAGGCAGGAAAAGTTTTCTGAACTGCTGCCCCTGCCGTGCATGGTGGAGAGGTATGGCTGAAAAGGAAAAGAGGCGACCTACCCCTGGGCCAGGACTTATCTAGGCCAGGGACAGGAAGAGGTGTGACCAGGTGAGGGAAAGGTGTGGCCACACTGGATCCCGACATGACCTCAGGGCCTGGGACCTCCTAAAGTCAGATTTACCAGCTCATTTTAACATCTAAGTCTAATCTGTGTCCATCAACTACACCTAGCCAATATCAAGTGCATTCTCTCTCTCTCTCTCTCCCTCCTGCACTTGGATTTTTCTACAGCTATTAGCAGTAGTAGTAAGAATTAGTTATACAGGAGGAGACCACAGAATCTGACACCCAATTGTTCTTATGAGAAGAGACTGAAAGCCCACCTCCCTCTCCCAGGTGACCTGTTCTGCCTTCAAAGCACTGACAATCACATTCTTTTGCCTAGGATCATCTTCATCCACATCTCTCCTACCCAACTCACTTCCTACAAAAAATATTTTTGTTGACCCTCCATAGATATTTTACATATCTATATGTGTATAGATATATATGTATACATACACACAACCTACACAGGTACATACAAATACACACATCCTATAGATTTGTGTGTATGCATAGGTTGCTTTGAAATTTCAAAGATGTGAGTTCTTCTTGGGCGGTGATTTTCCCATAGATACTTTTCCGCTTATGAGATCCAAATGCCATGGGTGGCATATGTTAAATGTTTCATGAATATTTTTGGCATTTCTATCTGAAGCCAGGAGACAACATGCAAAGTGAGACAGTAATAAGTTACAGGGCTAAAGTTGCAAAGGCATGAATCAGATGCATTTGCATGAGAGTCTCTGTGCCCAGCACTTTTTTCTCTCCAATGGTTGAGAGTCAAGTGCTGATGTTTAAAAATACTAACTTGTTTACACAAGTAAGAGCAAGTTGCTTCAAAAGTTCAGGAATTATTGGGAAAACAACACATTAAGTTTCTATCATTCAAAGACATTGAAATGATGGCAGTTATTGCACATCTAATTTTATGACCAATATACAATACATTGTTGTAATCATTCAATATATAAAAATTTGCCTCTTTATATACTGCATATTGAACAGAGACATGTTTTCATACATTGTAGACATCTTAGTGACAATTTAATAATCTAATGACTTAAAACTATACTTAACCATGCCTCTATTATTGGTCATGTTGCAACATGCCTCATTGTTTTTGCTACCACAATTAAGATACAATAATACTGGGATCAATACTTACATTATTATTTTGTTAGGCTGGATTGACAGAGGAGGTTTACCAAATTAAAGACTGTGAGTATTATACAATGAATATATATATATGTATATATATATATATATATGTGTATATATATATATATATATATGGACATCCTTAGGGGCTAATTATTTGACATATAAATCTCTAGATCTATAACATTTTTCACCATTCAATTTCTCCATCTGGGAACCGAAAGTATCTTGATTTTCCCCCAAAATTTCTTTAGCCTATGAGTATAGCCATTTTCTCAGGTAAAAACAGAAGCAGAAACCTTTCATTCTAAAACAGCCAAAGATAATACTTGAGCAATATATAACAGGTATTGCCTGTCAAAAGAACAACTAAGAATATAGAGCCTGACTGGAGTCCAGATGAGTTTAGCTGCAATGCACTAAAAGTGTGTCTGTGGCTGGGCGCTGGTGGCTCACGCCTGTAATCCTAGCTACTCAGGGACGCTGAAATCTGAGGATTGTGGTTCAAAGCCAGCCCGGGCCGGAAAGTAGTCCGTGAAACTCTTATCTCAAATTAACCACCAGAAAACCAGAAGTAGAGCTGTGGCTCAAGTGGTGGAATGCTTGCCTTGAGCTGAAGAGCTGAGGGGCAGCACCCAGTCCCAGAGTTCAAGCCCCACGACCAACAACAACAACAACAAAAAGTGTATCTATGTAGTGAGGAGAATAGGAGGTAGACGAGAGATATGGGTAGGAGCACAGAGAGGCTGGGAAAAGTAAGAGAGAGAGGAGTATGTAAGTAGGAGAGGGAGGGGATGGACTGAGGGGAACTGAGAAGATGAGAGAGAATAGGATGAAATGGGTAAGTTGTGCTATTTGGTGAAAAGGCCGCACTCACCTTGGCAGGCCGTCCTTGTTCTGCTTTGCCTTCCTCTGCACTGGTTCCCTCACTAGAAAGTACATAAAAATCAAGTTTTGTCAGTATGTGATACACTTACATCTTGATACTGTGCTAGGTTCTGTGGTTTCAAGAATACCTAAAGCAATAGCCACCCCCACCCCCCTGCCTTGAATTTATCTTTAGGGGAAGAGATGGCCAGGAGATTTCAACACAAGAACCTAGGACAGGATAAGAACAAGGCATCACTTAATACCAAGGACAGCAGCCAGTTCTATAAGTAGAAAGCCTGTGAAAGCAAAGGTTCAGCGGGAGCTGACTGGGGGAAGAGTGGGGTTTCAGAATGTAGATCACCACATGCTAAGAACCAGGGCGAACACAGAACATACCTGAAACTGTAAATGAGCATTAACATCTCCAAGGCCCAAAATGACTAACTCACTCGAAGTTACACAATTAGTTAACAATTAGATTAATGAAGTAAGCCAGACCCAGAGAAACACATGTTGCATGGTTCCCCTCATTTGTGAGAGGTAGAATGTGCCTATAAATCTATAAGTGAACACACTGGGTGATATCCAAGTGGTTATAAATGAATCAAAGTATACAGACTCTATGGAGAGTGCAAATAGTATTCTTTAGAAAGTCAACACCCAACAAACTAAGTACCAGGAAATGAGTACTTGCAAGATGGTGGTAAGGGCACAAGGGGAAAGGGGTAGAAGAATGAATGGGAGAAGGGAGTAGAATGCAGGCAAGAATGCACCATACATTGAACAGAACTGAGAAAAAAAGGGAAGGGGTGAGTCAAGTGGGGGAAGATGGTTGAAGGGATGACACAGATTGAGATACATTGTATACATAAATTGTTAAGTGGACAAAAATGCAATGCATAACTTAAAAATGAAGAAAACTGGGGGAAGGAGTGGGTGGGGAAGAATGTTGGCAGGTGTGACATTGACCAAGAGGCACTGTATTCCTAAACTGCTTTGTTGCATGCCAACGCCTTTGTACCTTAAGAAAATAAAAAAAATTAAAAAAATAGAAATAAATAATAATAAATTTCTCAGGAAAGCTGAATTCTCTATTTCACAAAGGATAAAACTGAGTCTCAAAGAAATTACACTGGTTGTTCACATTCACCATTTTTTAAAAAAAATGATCAAACTAAAAGAAAATTTTAAAGAAATGACATCAGACGCCAAAGCACTGGCATATAACACTACCTTTCCAATACCTACATCCCCTAGAACCTGGCTTTCAACTCCAATCACAGGTAGACTATAGATGGAGCTGTCCTTAGTTTACAAGCAGAAGTTACTGATAAACATAATTTTTGCATGGGGGGGGTTGCAGTTCTGAGAGCAAGATTTCAAATTGATGAATGGCCAGCTCGAGTTCCCTTTTAGAAAAGTTTGGAGTGCAAATTACAAGTGGATGACACTTCATTCATGAAACAAATTGATTCCTATGTGTGGCTTACATTTAATACTACATGCTGATCCTTCAAAAACGGCAACACAATAAGGGAGAAAAGTATTCTCTAAAGTGATATTACTCAAGGACATAGTAGCACTTTGCCTGTTGGCTTCAGGGAGAGGGTACAGTCACTATCTTAAATAATAATTCATAAAGACTGTTGAAGGACTACAGTAAATGAGATTCTTGGAAGCCAAAGTAAACTAGATGTTCAGCCTATTCAACCTGTTCAGACTACCAGACTCAAAAACACATCAGCACTGACTCCTAAGAAACAACATGAGACATTAAATGTTTTTCAAAGTTTAGATTATTATTTTTGCATTTATTTCACTGAGTGCATAGCAACACAAATGGCTGCTCCATTTGGGGCATTCTGTAAAGAAAATTCCATTCTGTAAAAAAAAATGCAATAAGGAAACCTGGTAATGTCTCTGAGTAACACTCATGATCCTTAATTGAGCCATTTCCACCATGCTGTGGCTTTTATGCAATAGTGAAGTTTGGCGTTCCGTATTTTTTACAGCTCTTATGAAACTACCACTACCTTTCTTTTATCAATCTCCTGTCACCTATGTAGAAATTAAAGTACTTTCACTGTATTTCTCTTTGCCAGTCACAGAGCTCAACTTGAAGTAGCAATGGGCTGTTTGAAATATGAACTACACGTTACCTTCTGCTAGCTTCATATGAAGCAAAGGAGACCTTTGAATGTTATTCTTTAGCTCATCCACCTCCTAACTGAAGTGAGACATCTACTGCTTACTCAACTCTCTTATAAAGAAGCCATCTGAAGTACACATCAGAATAGGAAAAATGCCAAGATCCTTATAATCAGCTTTGACACTCAGTGAGGATGGCCACATAAATATTGTTTGTTTCATGCAAATAGAGTTCTTATTCCTATCCATATTTGAATGCTTTCTTCTTACCACTTAATCATAGGAGTTCTTAAAAATAAGAGACAATTGTGAGCTTACAGATCTCCTTGGGTTTTCCTCTTGCCTTTTGAATGATGGATTAGTTTTCTGTAAGACTCTGGGGTGAATGGATTTACATTGACCAGAGACAATGAGGTCCTCTCATCCATGAGTGGACCAGGTGAGCTCTTCAAATGCTTAGAGCTTCGAGAGGCAGACTTCCCCACTGAAGAAATCATTGGATTTTTCGACAGGCCCTGAAAGGTGAATAGGGTTAATTTTTTAAAGTTCCATGTTTATTAGATAAATGCAAAAGAAAGTTATTGCTGAAAAGGCCTTGAAAGGTTTTCTGGTTCATTGTGAAGTAGTTGTATTATACTGGATACTTTTATTTTTTTAATACAGCATCCCATTATCTCACTTCTAAATATTCTTTTTCTCATCTCTAAATATTCTGATTCCTGAGGTCAACACATGAATCCATTTGTTAAATTCCATCCTTACCCTTAGGCAAACTCTACTACCTAGCTATGAAAGCCACCAATTCTAGTCCTAACTTCAATTTTTAAAGATAAGGACATTAAAGTCTCCTATACAATGCTTACTTTAGGTTCTCATCGATCACACTGACACACCCTCCATTATTCATCCAAATATTTGTTTGGTGCTGAGAAGTAGATGTTGGGCTGGACACAAATGGGTACAGGTATGAATTCTACCTCTTAAGAAATATTCTGTGTAGGGGCTGGGAAGGTGGCTCAGTGGTAAAGCGCTTGCCTTGCATGCATGAGGCCCTGGGTTCGATTCCTCAGCACCACATAAGCAAAAAGAAAAAAGCTCGAAGTGGCGCTGTGGCTCAAGTGGTAGAGCGCTAGCCCTGAGCTGAAGAGCTGAGGGTCAGCGCCCAGGCCCAGAGTTCAGGCCCCATGACCGGACCCAAAAAAAACATATTCTGTATATTAATTTTCAATTAACCAATGTTAGAAGTAATCACATTATATGGGAAATATTTAACTAAACACAAAAAAGAAGTTCTCAGTTTTACTTAATTACTTAAAATAAAGTATTAAATGAGAAGCACTCTATGAAGTAGACTAAAGAGATTTAAAATAATACTCTAAAATAATCAAGATTTCAGAACTTTGCAATAGCTATAACCAACTACCAATAAATAGAAGAATGTGAAAGACTCCTCCAAGTTTAGCACAGTAAGGAGACATAGGCCTAGACCTAAGCAGAGCCAATAAGTAAGATCAAAAAGCAGAATTGCATTAGACCTAAGTGCTTGGGACCAGAGGAAGGCCTGGACTCTGGATTTGTAAGCATATAGCAGCCCACATGGGCCCTGATGGAATCTGATGTCCACTCTCTGCACTACTACAGCTTGATGGTCTTTGCCTATATTTTTTTCAGTGTAGAAGCAGAAGCCAAACTATCATATGACTCACTAAGGAATCTGACAATACAAAGAATGACTCCTGGACTTATCAATAAAAATCCAATAAATTATTTATATGATGAGAAATGAAGCAGCTGCAGATTGTGCAGATTGTGCAAATAACTTGTGTAAGTGAAGAAAAGTGTGTTGTTGCCACATTCAAAGATTTCTTGCAATACATCATAGAATTTGTAGGGGACTGTAGTCAAAGCCTTCACCAAGAAAACATGGTTTTCCAGTGAGTTTATCATGAGGACTGAATATTAGTTCAAGATAAACAAAACTGTATTACATAATGGTATTTCTCAGTTGAATTTATATTGAATACTAAATCATTCCCTGAGAAATAGTTCTTTGCAATGCTGGTTATCACAGGAAAATTAAAATGTTATCTATAACATATGGAGCAGTGATGATACACACTTGGAATAATTGTCTTGTCATATTTCAATCCAGATTTTAAATTTCAAAAAGCCCATATAATTTTGGGGGTCAGGAAATAAGGCAAGTTTCCATATCAGGGTAGACAACATTATTCTTCTAGTCTGGAAATAAGAAGGGCAATAGAATTCACGAACCCCACTTATGGTAGGAAGGAAAATATTGATAATCACCATTAGGAAAGGAAGAAGAGATCTGAAACTAAACTAGACTGAAAAGTTCTGGAAAGATAATAAATGAACTCTCCAGAGAGTATAGGCTGAATAGCTCTGTAGGGATGATTCTGGGAGAAGAGAAGCCAAGGGAAATCTCTCAGCCACTTCTAACATGGTTGAGAAAAGAGAGAGAACCTCCCAGAAGGACAGCACCTCCATCATAGTATCTTAGGACTGGGAAAGACTACCTGAGGCTTGAATCACATCTCTAGTGTTGCAATAGAACCCTGTTCAAGCTAGTGTTCAACATGTTTAGGGACCTTACTATCTTCTAAGGATGCTTTTATTTCTGAGCAATGCTGCTCGGAATTCCTTATGGAGCAGTGAAGTCATTCATGTAATGCTCTTGGGCCAAGAAGAACTCAGGCAACATTTCCTTCCTTTGCAGACTTGTCTTCAGCAAACCATCACCACTTACCACTCCTCTGATCCAAACTGAGTTTTCATAAAGTAATTGTTTCCCAATTGCATTCCCAGCTTCCTTCCTAAACTTATTCTCTGCCGGTCCTTCAAATCTTGGCATTATCTTACTCAGGCACTGCAGCTGTATGGCTTTATCCCCCCCCCCCCCACATGACTTCACCCATTTCCTAAATGCCATAGATATCCAAATGGATCTCTAACTCATTTATCCAACTATTTACATTAGCTGCTTTTCTCCAAACCCAGTGTCTTTCCCCATCCACTGTCTCCTATCTTGATTCAAGGTACTCACCACTCAGTCAAGTGACAAGGCTCACCGTAATGGTAGATCTTTCTTTTCCTCACAACTCCTCCATCATGACAGTCACTGCTTCCTGAACATCTTTCAGGCTGTCCCTGCCGTGCCTGTGGTAGGCCAGGCGCTCATCTGTTCTCAGCAGAACTGCTAACAATGCTCTCCTGATCCCATCCACCCTACACATGAATTCAGGGTTTGTTTTATAAGATCTCTACATAAAATCATTTAATGACAGTCTTAAACACTTCAATAAAAATCCTGATCTATCTCTTGCCTTCTTACTTTGACCTCATTTCCTGCCTCTTTGCTGGTCATACTACATAACATACAGTTTTCCAAGTGTGATATGCACTTCTATCTTGGAAACATGGTGGATGTTTTGATTTTTCCTTTCCTAGGGCTCTCATTTTCCTCTTTGCTTGGATAATTCCAATTCATCCTTTAAGGTTCTTCTCCAACACTACTTCCTTTGGAAGTCTTCCCTGATACTTTTAAATTTAATTCCTAATTTCTATTTTATCATTTTCTGCCATTCTTCCACCATGCATGATCTGAACTTTAATTATTGCTTCCGTTTTTCTCTTTATTCATCTTAAGGGCCTGTTGTTGAAAGCAGTAAAGGGATTGTGCCCACAGAGGGTCTGCTCACATAGCAAGATGTTCGGTTAAGTTGTGAACACTAAAATGAATGAAAGATGTAAACATATTGTGTTTTACGGCCTGTTGTTCTCTTATTTGAGCCACATTCTTGGCCTGTTCTCTACCAGCTATCAACACTGTACCAACTTCCATTGAGTTACAGTCTTTCTTCACCTTTCTTGATTCCCCCTCCCTCTCTTTTCCCCCTGAGAATCAGCCCAGAGAATTCCCAGCGTTCTTGAAGCATTTATCACAGAACATCTATTGGCACAACTCTTCCCATTCTCCCTCTGTCCCCCTCCCCGGTCTCTTCTGCAAGGTAAGGTCTTTATGGACAAAGATTGGGTCTTATGTGCCTTACACACATGGAATCTCAAAAAGGAAAAATCAAAAAGCATGATCACTCAGATGGTCTTTGAACCACTGAAAAATCCACCAATGGACCCCTGGACATATTAATTTGTATGCAGTTCAGACAAGAAGCTTAGCCACTCCTGTTAAACACAGTTTGCATACCCAGCAGGCCCTACAGGGGCCCGCTGGCAGACTATCCTGCACGCAGCATCACAGATGTTATTTGAATGTTCTTAAGGACCTCAAGCTGAGCAGCAGAGAGCAGAGCTAATACCATCTGAGCGCACCACAAACCATGGCACCAGAGTTCACTCAAGAGTTACCATGGTCCCAACCTTGGCTTGAATTACATCAGTCATCTACTCCACCAATCACGGCAAAGATAAAGGAGTAGGTAACTATTAGCAACCATTGCTTCCTTGCCATCTCAATTTTTAAAGAAGTACCAACAAGTTACCTATGTATAGAAATACCGAGAAGTTGCCTAGGGAGAGGCCGCACTTCACGAAGGCAGGAGAGGAGAGGAAGTCTAGGGAGCACAGCAGCTGAGACATATAAACATGTTCCGTGAACTTCCCAGTTTAGGAAACATTTGTAACTAATTACCCCCAAATACAGTCAGCTGTCAGAATGGAAAAGAGCAATAAAGGAAGCCCACAGATCACGTGGCTCATCTGGTCTGCCATTGGCTGAGCTTATCTCTTGGGACTTTGCTTTTCTCCTAAGAGCACAGGCTAGGTGTAGATCCCCATATTCCTTCCAGATCTAGGACTTTTTAACTAAGAACGTTTCTCCACCCAACACTTAACTGTGTCCAATACCAAGTCGTGGCTGGCATGGATAGGTTTTGAGAAGACAAAAGGGGCAAGACGTGCATTTCTATTGGTCGTTTTCACTGTGTTGTCATTTCCACTCACACATACGTCAGAGGTCACAGAGATCCGGGAGGCTGGTCTATCACACACCTGCAAATCCACCCAGAGCTGAAGGAGGCTTTACTTACTTTGACCTTGGGTGTAGCAGGGCAGACACTGAGCCACGGGTCGCTTCTTCTGCCAGGTCGTGCTGGGGTTGCTGGACATTTGGGGGATTCTGACCTTAGACTCCGAATCATGGAATCCGGACTTTCTTGGTCGCTCTCCCTAGAGCTGTCACGCGCATGTATGTCCTGGAGGGGAGTCCTGGGAGCCTCCAAATCCTGAGCCTCGCCTCTCTCTGGGGTTCGGCTTTGGGCCTCCTTCTGTGGTGTTATCATCTGGAAGGGAGTCCTGGGAGCCTCTAAATCCTGAGCCTCACCTCTCTCTGGGGTTCGACTTTGGGCCTCCTCACTCGGTGGTGGTATCGTCTGGAAGGGAGTCCTGGGAGCCTCTAAATCCTGAGCCTCGCCTCTCTCTGGGGTTCCGCTTTGGGCCTCCTCACTCGGTGGTGGTATCGTCTGCTCTTGGTTCTCGGTTTCTTCTTCACACAAGGAAAGGTCCAATCTCTGACTTGGCTCTTTATTAACCCATCTGTCATCCATTCCAATGAAACGGTTTCCAGCATAGGCAGAAAGGTCTCTCGGAAATCTACAGACATAAGAAGAAAAGTACTGAACTACAAGCTCTACGATATTAACCGGCCTTTCCTGCAACAAACTAACAGCTGTGCCACATCCTGTGAATTTTCTGCCTTAAGTACGGCAAATCCAGAAGACCTCAGCTTATCCTTATTCCCATTCTGATTTTAAAAAACTTCTTCCCAGCCCTGTGGTGTCTCACGCCTGGAATCTTAGCCTTTCAAGAGGCTAAGATCTGAAGTTCCAGGTCAAAGTCCGGACAGGAAAGTCTGGAAGTGGAGCTGTGGCTCAGATGGTAGAGCACCAGCCTTGAGCAAATAAACTCAGGAACATCTACAAAAACGTATAATAAGTGAAATAAGTCAGACCCAGAAAAACAAAGACTGAATGGTTTCCCTCATTTGTGGTAGCTAGAACGTATAATAAGTGAAATAAGTCAGACCCAGAAAAACAAAGACTGAATGGTTTCCCTCATTTGTGGTAGCTAGAATGAGCCTATACCCATAGAATAAACATGGGGTAGGGTGAAATGCACATGGTTACAAATGAACTAATCGGAGTAGAGTGGAATCTATGGAGATCCCAAATAGTGTAATTTTGTAGAAAGACAAAGTCAAAGTCCAACAAAATAAGTACTAGTTATGGGTACTTGCAAGGGTGGGTGGCAAATGAAGTGGAGAAAGAGGGAAAATGTGGTCAAGAACTCGTGGAAGATACCACAGAATAAGAAAAACAAGGGAAAGGGTGAATCAAAGGGAGGTGAGAATGGTAAAGGAATGACACCGATCAAGATGCATCGTATTCATAAACAAAAAAAAAAAACCGGTAAAAACAAAAATAAAGTAACTCAGGAACAGTGCCCAGGCCCTGAGTTCAAGCCCCAGGAATGAGACAACAACAACAACCTCAACAACCCGTTGATCAATAAATCCAATTCATATACAGAACTTCTGGTATGCCAGTAATTCTCTCTGAGGAAAGCCGGGTGCCCGTGGCTCACGCCTGTAATTCTAGGTACTCAGGAGGCTGAGATCTGAGAATCATGGTTCAAAGCCAGCCCAAGCAGGAAAGTCCAGGAGACTCTTATCTCCAATGAACCACCAGAAAACCGAAAGTGGCCCTGCGGCTCAAGTGGTAGAGCATTTGCCTTAAGCTGAAGAGCTGAAGAACAGCACCCAGGCCCAGAGTTCAAATCCCATGGCTGACACACATACACACACAAAAATACTAGGGAAGGTAGTTCATTTCCTTTTAGTTAGCCTGGCCTCAAATCCCTACTGACCAATTTGGGGACAAGCTCATTACTAGAAGGAAATCACTCATTTTTTTATACCTGCCATGTATAAACATCTCCCTCATGTCCCTTCCACTCCCCCCTCCCCACATCCAGTGACACAGCAGGTCATCAGAATCCACCACCACCTGGGTATCATAATGACCACTAAACAAGCCTTAACATATCTTGCCTGAAGTTCATATCCCTAGGGACAGGCCTTAGTTCTTTGCCAAACACACCTGTCCTGAAGTGCTCTTCCTCTCTGCCAAGTATTAGCAGTTAAAGCTTTTGGAGAACAAAGTTTCAAACTAACAAAAGAAAAGCAGTTCAAAGAAGCAGATGTTGAGGGCTTTGAAAGAACTCTTGCCACAATGAAGGTATGGCTTAAGTGGTAGAGGGTCAGACTTAAGCAATAAAAGCCAAGCGAGAGCTTGAGGCCCTGAGTTCAAGCCCCAGTACTGGCATAAAAAAAATTTTTTTTTAAAGCTGAGTTCCAGTGGCTCATGCCTGTAATACTAGCTACTCAGAAGGCTGAGATCTGAGGTGTGCAGTTCAAACCAGGGCAGAAAAGTCCCCATGAGACTCTTATCTCCAATTAATTGCTCAAAATCTGGAAGTGGTGCTGTGGCCCAAAGTGCTAGAGTACCAGCCTTGAGCAAAAGAGCTCAGAGATAGTGCCCAGGCCCTGAGTTCAAGGCCCACAACTGACAAAAAAATAAAATAAAATGGCTTTTACCAGGGTTTTTTTGGTTGGTTGTGGGACTTGAACCAGGGCCTGGGTGCTGTCCCTGAGCTCTTCAGCTCAAGGCAAGCACGCTACCACTTGAGCCACACCTCCACTTCCAGTCTTCTGGTGGTTCATTGGAGATAAGAGTTTCACAGACTTTCTTGACCAGGCTGATTTTTGTTGTGTTTTGTTTTTGCCAGTCCTGGGCCTTGCCCTCAGGGCCTGGGCACTGTCCCTGAGCAATTTTGCCCAAGGCTAGCATTCCACCATGTGAGCCACTGGGCCACTTCAGCTTTTTCTGTTTATGCGGTATTGAGGAATTGAACCCAGGACTTCTTCATGCATGCTAGGCAAGCACTCTACCACTAAGCCACCTTCCCAGCCTCTGGGCTGGTTTTGAACTGCAATCCAGATCTCAGCCTCCTGAGTAGCTAGGATTACAGGCATAAGCCACCAGTGCCCAGCAAAACAGGATTTTCTTAATGCTTTTTTTTCCCCCTGTCAGTTGTAGGACTTGAATTTAGGGCCTGGGCGCTGTCCCTGAGCCTCTTTGTGCTCAAGGCTAATGCTCTACTACTTGAGCCACAGCATCACTTTCAGTTTCTAAGTGGTTTTTGGATAAGAATCTCATGGGAACTTTTCTGCCCAGGCTGGCATCAAACTGTGATCCTCAGCTCTCAGCTTCCTGAGTAGCTAGAATTTACAGGCATCAGCCACCAATTCCCAGCAAATGCTTTTTGTTTGTTTCAATATACAGTTTAAACACATTATTTAATTTGTTTCAAAAGCTACCACAGAAAGGGTTAAAAACTTTTGGGGGAAAAAGCTATCAAGTTACCAACTCTGGGGCTGGGAAGGTGGCTCAGTGGTAGAGTGCTTGCCTTGCGTTCATGAGGCCTGAGTTCGATTCCTCAGTACCACATAAGCAGAAAAAGCTGAAATTGGCGCTGTGACTCAAATGGTAGAGCACTAGCCTTAAGCTGAAGAGCTGAGGGACAGCGCCCAGGCCCAGAGTTCAGGTCCCATGACAAAATAAAATAAGTTACCAACTCTCCTCAGAAGGCTGAGATCAGGAGTATAGTTTGAAGCCAAACTAGGCAGAAATGTTTACTAGACTCCATCTCCAAAATAACCAGCCAAGAACAGTGCTAGAGGCATGGCCAAGTGGTAGAGCACCAGCCTAGCAAGCATGAGAGTTCAAACCCCAATACTTCCTTCCTTCCCCACCAAAAATATATATGGAGTGAATTAAAGCTAAGATATGCTGTCTCTGATGGTACATGTCTATAACGCCAACACTCACTTAGAGCGTTAAAGCAGGAGGATTGAGAATTTGAGGTCAGTCTTGGCTACACAAATTCTAAGATTTCCTAAGATATATAGGAAGACCCTGTCTCAAAAGGCTGCCCCTCCCCCCAAAAAGAAACGAAGACTGGGGCATTCAGTAATTGAGATAATCTAATAGTGATGCTGTGTTATCATATATTTGATGGTTCTGCTCCAATTGAAAAACCACTGGAATGTCTGTTTTCTCATTACCACCCTTCTTTCTGTTGAACTTCTGCGAAAATGTTCTAACATACCCAAAAATAGTAATGACAGTATAGTGAGACCTGCTGTGCTATAGAATCTAGCTTCAGACATCATAGACAACTTTACTACTTTATTTCCTTTTGTATTTTTAAGTCTGTTGTAGGGGGATGGGGGAAGGTCCTGTGGTATGTTAAGGCAAGTTAGTAATAATATGTCTCATCATTCTTGAATACTTGGATACCCTTAGTAAAAATCTCTAAGTTAATCCATTAACCTGAAATCTAACTGGCACGCCAATCAATCAGACATTAATGCATTTTTTTTCTCTCACCACAGATTCCCTTGGTAGAACTGAAAGCTATTCATCAAAAGAGCTGTGGGTGGTAGACCTACTGCTTGTCAGCCCACAGACCTAGTATTAGAACAGGAACAGACTTCTGAACTGGTAGCCAACACTTTACACATTCATGGTATTCTTCCTATATTTTAAAGAAGTTATTTCTTTTAATTACAGTATTGACGCAGTAGCTGAACCTTTTCTCAGTTAGCTACAGTTGGGCTGTTGGTCATTTCCAGATGAGAGCAGGAAATGGGTTCCCCATGTAACCTCGTGACCTATTTCTAGGCCAGTCTTGCAGTCAAAAAATGAGATCGCTCTCGCCTCTCCTTCCTGTTGCATATATGAGTCTCTCTCTCTCTCTCTCTCTCTCTCTCTCTCTCTCTCTCTCTCTCGCATATACATACACAGGAATGCATTTACACACATACACTGTTTTACCCAGAAGAAACTCCTTTATGCTTCTTTGACTTTCTATGCCCCCCAAGGACCATTTCTTGATTTGGCCAAACATTCTCAGCCACTCATATTTCTGATCCAATTAAAAAGATCTCTACACTGAATCTTTATCTTTGCTTTTTTTTAAAAAAGGCAAACTTTCTTGGACACATCTTTCAGCCCACACTTGAAATCCTTGAAATGGACATCTGCATCCCAGACTTTTCTTTTAAATGTTAAAACCATCCACTGCTTTATCAGTTGTCTTTCTGCATGGCCCAAACTTCCCCCGTCACACCTGCTCCTGCAGTCTTTTCATGGCTCAGTAAACAGAAACATATGAGTACTCACTTCTTTCTCTGAAACCCCTTCCTGGAGTTTATGAGAAACACATTTATTTCTCTCCCCATACACTGAATTCATACATGCCCTGCTGAATTCTATTCTTCATCTAGCAGCTGATGGGGACCTTCCAAAAGATAAGTAGGATCATGACGTTCCTGTATTCAAATTCTTCAGTTCTTCTCATTCCACTCAGAATTTAGAGCTAGCCCCTGAATCAAGACCCATAGACCCATACAGTCCACCCCAAACCTGTCTTTCTTCTCCCTCATACATTCTTCTCTGGTCTTCCGAATGCTTCTACAAATGTCCCAGGACCTTTGCTTCTGCTAGAGCGTTCTTTCTCCATATGTCTCCACTTCCCCTTCGATTAAAGGTTACACATCCAAAAGATCTTCCTAAAATCCCTGATGATTGTGAATATCACTTCTCTTCATCTTGACTATGTGTGGCATTCTTTCAGGACATATCAATATTATATATAGTATATATATTATATTATATATTATATATATATGTATACACACACACACACACACACACACACACACACACATTGGGCTTGAACTCGGGGCCTGGATGCTGCCCCTGACCTTGCTTTATTTTTTCTTTTCTTCTTTTGCTCAAGGCTAGTGCTCTACCACTTTGAGCCACAGCTCCACTTCCTTTTTTTTTGTTTTTGTATTTTAATGGACATAAAAGTCTCCTGCACAGCTGGCTGTGAACCATGATCCTCAGATCTCAGCTTTCTGAACAGATATATGTGGCTAGAAAACAGGTGAGCCACTGGTGCCAGCTTTAATAGTTCATTTTTTACATTTCCTATCTTTCCACCACACCTCCAAGAGCATTCAAATCCCATGAGGACAGGATCTTAACTCTCATTTGATGTTCCATTTCCTTTTACTTAGAAACAGGGCTTGTGGAACACACGAGGTGCCCAATAAATATTAGCAAAGGGCTCTAAGATTATTATGTATTCTATCTATCCCCACCATGCACACCATTAAAGAACAGATGCCTTTTATATGGTTTAAAATGTTAAATTTTCAACCCTGATGCAAATTTAAGAGGACTGACTAAATGAAAGAGCGATGCTGATTGTAAATAATGTAGTATTTGCGAACATGCATTCCACTCCATTCCCTCAGTCCTTACACCATCCCTGGCCCGATGATATGTGATTTATTACACTTTAAACTTGGGCCGCATCAACAAGTGGCTGAGCACAGATGATTGTGGGGGTGGTGGGGAAGGAATGTTAGTGCAGACAGGGCTGCTGTCTTAGCTATTGAGGTCTGACTAAAACAGACATTGGGCAGTAGGGCTAGAACAACTTGGATCAGTTAGGAAGTCGAGGGACTTGGACTAGGCTAGAGCATATCACAATGTCTCTGGCTGCCCTGGACTTTCAGTCATCTCAAAATCAATCTCATGCCTTGTAATTCTAGTTACTCAGGGGCTCATATCTGAGGAACATGGTTCAAAGTCAGCCAGGGCAGAAAAGTTGTGAGAATCTTATCTCCAATTAACCACCAAAAAGCCGTAAGTGGCCCTGTGATTCAAGCGGTAGAGCACCAGCCTCGAGAGAGAAAGAAAAAATAAACAACTAAAGGACAGCATCCAGGGCCTGAGTTCAAGCCCCAGGATGAGTACACACACACACACACACACACACACACACACACACACACACACACACACACACACACACACACACATCAATCTGGCTGGGAAACTTCTTACAGGGAGATTAGTTTGTTCTTCTGATCTATTTATACTTTTAATTTCATTTGTGTTATGTTACATCTCAGCTTGCCCCACCTATCTCTGGACTCCTGTTTGGACCACCAGTATTGGCCTAGGCTCACTAATTGTGCAGACTGATCAAGATTTAGGGCTGCCTGTACTAAGCTGGGTGGAGCACTGTTCCTACAAGACAACAATGCAGAGATGATGCTTCTCCAGTAAATGTCTTGCTCATTCCACTTGAAGAAAAATGCTCACTTTTTCTTAAAGCTAGATGAAATTATTATAAAGATAGGATGAAAAATTAAATAGAGAATGGCCAGATGTGTTCTAAAAGAGAAGAGGAAAGGGTCAGGCATGATGGTGCATACCTATAATCCCAGCAACACAGCAGGAAGATTGCAATTTCAGACCAGTCCAGATAAAGTAAGCAGAAGATCCTATTTGAAAGCCAATCTAAAATCAAAAGGATGCTGGGCATGGCGTAAGTGTTAAAACAAGGCCCTGAGTTCAATTCTCTGTACTGAAAAATAGAGGAATAGAATTTAAAATACATCCAAAACCATGGGAAGCTGAGATCTGGATGCTGCAGTGTGAGGCCAATCCAGGCAGAAAAAAATTGCATGAGGTGTGGTCTCCACAAAGGGAAGCTGGACAGAGACACATGCCTGAGATCCCAGCAACAACGGGAATCTTAAAAATAGGTAGGTCTTGGCTTGGTTCTCACAGGAACAAAAGAAACAAAAACAGGGCTGCTGGCTTAAGGGAACTGCATCAGCCTCACAAGCATAAGGCCCTGAGTTCAAAGACCCAGGATCACCAAAGAAAACCAATATACATATAACAATTAAATTAGTGTGGGACTAGTGTAAAGATAGAAAAGCAGGAAAATGGCTAAGAATACACAGATTGGTGATGATAGCGGTAATTTAATATTGTACTTCAAAGAAGAATTACAAGTTAAAGGAATAAAAAGTAATTCCGTAAGAGATGTAGCAAATCTGAGTGATTCAATGAAAAATGGTAGCTTCACTGCCTAACACTTATCAATGTAAGTTAAGCATAGAGTAGATTAAGAAATTAAATGGACAGATGCACCAAAGAGAATCCATAAGTTGTTACCACATATTTTGAAAATATAATTAGATCCAATCAAAACACAAATCAAGAACCTAAGAAACAAGAATGCATTTTAACCAGGTTTGCCACCTCTAGCCATGATCATAAATCAACAGCCAGAATGTCTGATTGGAATTGCCCAGCCCATCTTCTCTCATTCCATATTTCATTTCTTGACTGATAGCTGCCCCCCCCACTAGGGTGATGAGATGTATGTCTCAGTGTTATTCTCAGAGATTACAGCCATAGAGCTAAGCAAGAATGAAATGTGGTCAAAACTTTAAAGTGTAGCAAAAAGGGAAAGACTTGACTATCCAACAGTGACAGATGGTGAAATACATTAGCAGGCATACATATAATGAGAACCATCAAAACAATGCACAGAAAATGTTTTCTATAAAATGTCAAAATGTTCCTATTCTCACATTAAGGGAAAAAGAATACAACCTTGATAGACAGCATAATTCCAACACATAAATAGAGAGATGAGAAAGGCATCCAACGAGTCATCAATTTAAAGATACAACATTAAATGACAGTCAGAATTTTTTTCTAAAATGTCCATGCTGAGGAGTTCGGTAGGCTTGCCTGTGGCAAACCAATCTCCCATACAGAGGGGGCTGGATATGGAAATATGCTTGTCCCCAGGGATGAACTGTTAAAAGATTTTCTATGAATTGCTATTTTATATTTAAAAATAAAAATTTGAGTGTCTCAACCTTGACAGCTTTGGTTGTGGCCTGGGCTTTGGAGTCTAGCCTGGACAGTTCAGGGATAACTCAGCCTGACATGATCTCAAATGGACCAGATTGTGCCCTGCCCTTGGCTGGAGGTGTCTCTCCATTTCAGTGATTGCGTGTATCAATGGTCACTTACCGGGGAACAAACAGGGCAGGTTGAATTAAATAAATGACCAATTCAATCCTTCCTTTTTAGGGTAAAATGCTTTCTTGTTATATCCTAGCGTTTGGACTGGAAGCAGCAGCTTTGGGCAGTCTCTTACTAGCTTCTTGGGAAGAGGATTAAGTTCTATTACCGTGACTTCTCCAGGGACCTGGACACCTGACAGACAACCCACCGAATCCTAGGCCAACCGAGGCCTTCCTGACCGCGGATGAATCTTGTGTCTGGACAATTCTCTCGCTGTCTTATTCTTTCTTACGAGTTACTTCAGTTGACCCTCCATGATTGCACCGTTTAAGATTTTAAATATAAAAAGTTTACTTGCACACACACACACACACACACACACACACACACACACACACACTCGTTCCTAAAGTCAAAAAGCTTTTAGGGCTTTCCCTTTTTACTTCCTTAAGCAACTTCATCTTCTTGATCTTTTGTGGGAACATCCCGCCCCAAGGCCCAGTACTTCTCAGTCTGATACCCCGTTGTGTGTGTGTGTGTGTGTGTGTGTATGACTTTTCCCTTCCCCGGTTTATTGAAACACCAGAAGAGTAGTTAACATCGCCAAAACCCAGCCCTGGAGCCCAGTCCAATCTCCACGTCGGAACCATTCGCCACACCTGGCTAACTCCATCTGCTCCGCCTCACCGCCCCGTCCGCAGGCGGCTTTGGCCACGCATTTGGGATTATGTAACACAGGTGTCCCGGTCTTTATGTCCACGGGACTCTAAAAATAACGGCGCAGTGTAAACAATCCCCAGGGCCACGGTTCTACTCCCGAGTCCTGGGTGGGAAGGCGCCCGGCCCGCGCGCAGGTGCACGCTCCTCCGCGATGCGCATCTGGCGCCCGCACGCGCAG